GTTCACGTTCTATTTGAAAATATCCTGTGATATTCGCGTGTCGTTGACAAAATACGAACGTAAACTTGTGAACATGCGTTGTACGATTTTGTTTCCAAATACTGCAATAACGTGGTATATTTAACAATTGTTTTCGTTTTCATAATACACATTATGTGTAATGTATATGCTGTCTAATTCAAAGTATATGCAAATAATTTTCTTATAGAACACTATTACAAGATTCTATTAAAAAAAAAAAAAAAAAATTGAATTATTATTATTATCAAACTGAAGTTCAATTCACGGAAAAATGTCGTTGTCAATTAGATCAAAAATAATAACGACTCAACATCAAAATACGTTCATAAAAGTAATTTGTTTGGAATTTTAAAGGGTGCTTACGCTGATTACTTTTTAAAATGTATGAATTCAAAGAAATATTTGAAAACAATTGCACCCAATAAAACAAATTAAAAAAAAAAACGTTCACCAAACAGTAACATAGCAGGAAAAAATATCCACTGAACAAATATGTGGCGAATGAATGAGATGAGATGGCAACATACTAATAACACTGTGTACCGAAATACGAGCTCGTTATGTTGCAGTCATGTCCAAAATTAGTCGAATCCCTATTGTGTAAATTATACCTACCAGCAAATTATATCCGCAACCCATTCGTACTTACATACAGATTATATCATTTATGATGTACAATGAGTACGTAAGTAACTAAGACTTTAATTACCAAACAAGCAACAATGATCATACAGATATTGTTGAAAGTGGTTATTGTAACCACTGGATTTTTGGGAGTATCTTTTTATTTTTTAGTATAAACCAAAACAGTGCACAATTTAATTTTACAAAATATACAGTGCACCTCGTAATTCTAATGACCACCGTAAGACATTAATATATATATATATATATATTAATGAATATAATATTTATGAAAGTATTTGATTCAATAAAAAAGATTATATATCACTATTTTAGGATAGTTATTCCCATACCCATTTGAAGCAAAAAATCGTATACAAAATAACATTGTTAAAAACACACAATAAAATAGTTTTTACCAAAACGTTGTATTTATTTTGTTAAAATAATAATTATGATCATTTTTAAATGGTAATTTAATGAGATACCTTTTATAAGAATACTAAAACAAATGAATTAACCTAATGAGACCTTCCAAGTAAAATTTTAATAATATTTAAGTCAATATTTGTATTTAATAATTCTAGGCACAACTATTATAACTTTAATAGTATCCGATGTAATAAGTGTATACATGTTTAAAATGGCTTTCATGTGGAAAAAAATTGAAAGAGTTTTTACGTACCTGGACATTTTTAAGGTTATTACCAGGGCAGAAAAGTTATAGAAGGTAAAATTGGAAAAATATGCATATAAAAAATTGAAAATTTGCATTCAAATTCATTAAATATGCAAGATAATATGCACAAAAAAATTAAATTATATTTTAGTAAAATAAAAAAATTAGATATAAAAGTAATATAGAAATCATTGCATTCCACAATTAATTTTATTTTAAATATTTCTTACGTCGAATGATCGCCGATTGTTAGTATAGTTTTCTTCAATCTCGAATTTTGATTTATCCTTAAAATAAATATTAAATATATGAATATAAAAGTAGTTTTAAAATAACTTTTTTCTCACCTGATAAATTATTGCATTTCACAACTAATGTTTTTTTAAAATTTTCTACGTCGAATGATCGCCGATTGTCAGCCAGTATGGTTTTGTACCGAGAAAAACTTCTTTCGACGTCTGTTGATGTTACTGGTGCATATTTATAAAATTTTAAATCATTTCCCGTTAAGTCTTCTGGTAAACCATTCATTGATGAACTTTCTCCATTCAAAATTTTTAAAAATTTTAATATTATTGCAAACCCATCATTTTTTTCTAAAACTTGGTTAAATTTTTTATTTACTTTCATTCCAACGTCACCCGCAACTTCTTCCAATTTATTTTTTGTGAAGATTACTGTTGATACTGAATTAGTTAATTATACTCCTTGTGATTCTAATTTAGTTATGATTGATGGTAAAAACCCACCATTTGAATATATAAAAGTCAAATTTGGTTCCATTGAAATTTCATTTAGAAAGGTTTGAGATTCTTTTATAGATAGAGTATCGTTAGAATCAAAATGTTGCATAACATCTCGTACTGGCTTAAAATATTGGCAGTAATAAGAAGTAACTTCAATCCAAGAACTCCAACGTGTAAGTACAGGTTCGGGAGGAAGAGGGACTCCGGGAGTTTCTGTCTTAAAAAATAAAACACGCGAAGGTGCTTTTAAAAATACTTGCTTTCCTTTTGCTACTAATTTATCAACTCTAGGAAAATGACTCCGAATATTTTCTGCTAATCTATGTAATCCGTATGCTATACAAGTAATATGGATCATTTTGGAGTACAAAACCTTGATAGTTATACCTGCTTTCTTCATGTATGGCGCAGCATGGCTTAAAAATAGAAGGACGTCATCATGACGAACACCGTCGGGCCACAGGAGAAACATTGAGCTGTTAAAAAGTTTGATTATCGTAGAAAAATTGGCTTTTTCTAAAACTTCGGTATTTAGTAAATATATTTTTCCGTGTCTATCCTTTAGTAGAGTTCCGATTATTACGTTTGCAATATGTCTCCCTTGGACATTTGTCGTTTCATCTATAGAAACCCATATTTTATTTCCTACAATGTATTTTCTAATTTGATCAATAGCTTCTAAATAGCAATAGTTTGTATAAGTTTTCCTCAACGTAGATAAACTTGAGATTATACATTTAGAGTATATTTTTCAAGGAATGATCGGAATTGAACATTAGAAATTTTATGTAAAGGAATGTTTGCACACATCATAGCCTTGCATAAATCATGTGAAAAAACAGATTTTTTGTTTGACGGCTGTGATATAAATTATTGTTTATTTTTTGCAGGTTTATTTCGACGAGCTAATAATCGTTCGTGTTTATTTGTTTTTATATGTTGAGTTACTGTACATTTTTTATCAGCACTTACTTTGACTTCGCAAATCTTACAATAAAGCATAGTACCATCGGTAGCAAATGTATCTTTACCAAACTGTTTCACATACTTGCTAAATATATTTGCATTTATTTTTGGCATTGTGCAAAATTTTAGCAGAAATTTTAAAAGAAAAATGTAAGCATGGAAAACACAACAAACAGCACGCAGTTTCGTATCGAACGATACTTAATACTAACAAGATTACTGACGAACAGTGAACTCTGGACACATAATAATTTTGATATAAAATTTAATATAGATACTTAAATGCCAATTATTTCGACATAGGTAAAACTAATAAGTTATAATAATTAAGATAAGTTATCTTCGATAACATTATCTGAATGCCCAACTAAAATATGTAGGTACCTATAATATAGTACATAGTCTACATGGGAATCGGGTGGTGTACAATGTTACTATATAGTGTATAAAATATAATAATACCCTACAGTTTTTATGTAGAATATGCACGAAATATGCAAAAATATGCAAAAAAAAATTTTAGATTTCAACTGTGGAGCCTATGACTTATATTTAAATCTTGGTTTGCTATAAAATAGAGGCCCAGAATAAAACATGCAAATCCTATAACTTCTCTGCCCCAGTTATTACATTTTTCCCTTCGGACTACTTCAAAAAGCATTTGAAATATGTAAATTATGAAAATGATAAGATGATATAATGATAATTTATCTAAAAACCAGAATAATAAATAGTATTATTATTATTATTTTTTAATTCCATTTTTATTCATTATTTTATGTATCATTTAATTTTTTTTGTACTGGTTTGTTGAAAAAGCAAGCATTTGAAGGACTATCATAATGATCAAAATGTTATCTAGCCTTCAACGAGAAACAAAAAAATAAAGCAAATTTACAATTAAATTAATTTTGGTACATTTTCCAAGTAAACTAAAAAGTTAGTATGGATGTAAGGTTCGGTAATACTCCATGAATTTAGTTAGTTGAATTAGTTAGGTCAGGTTTGTTATTTTCTATGTCAACGTTTCTTAACTGGAAGTACGCAAAAATATACAAGAGGATACTTTGATAAAAAAAAAAGGTAATGGTGAAAAATGTAAGAATTAATGTGAAATGTTTATGAAATATTTAATAACGAGCACTATCTTTGTAGATTGGGTTTGTAATGATGATGTTTGTAATTTGGCTTTTTTGTTACATATGTTCATCAAAAATATGTATTGTAATAGACTTTTTGTGAGTTTAATCTTATAAGTTTATTTATCATATGTGGAACTAGATTTCAAAAATTAAGTGTTACCAAAAAATCCCAAGGATGATAGTAAAATACAATTTTAAAATTTACATTGTATGACGCATAATGATTAGAATAAATAAACACTTCATAATTATTTATTTTCCACTAAAACTAACTATATAATTTATTAACAATCCTATATGAAAATAGATAAATTGATAATTTGGTGTACGTAAAGCATTAGCGAGAGATCAAGAGGTACATGAACGAAAAAAGGATGTTAAACGTTGCTCTATGCGTTTGCTCTATAATAATTAATATACAATAATATATTTTATACTATTAACTAAAATGATATTTTGTTTTTTTGTTTTTTAATAAACTGAAATAACTTATTGTCAATTGCATAATATGTAACTACGTCGTAGCATAGTGTTCCGAGTTCATACCGAAAAATGCTCAGTGTAATAATCTGCAGTGGGAATAATAAACAATAATTTATTCACCCACGGGTTACGATCGATATCAAAACACGTTTAGACACTAAAGTGCACGTATTGTAAATTGTAAATGGGTTCCATTAATTTTACGATGAACACAATAACTTACGAAAGCGTTCAATCGATTGGTTTTAACACGCGGTTGCATCTGCCATGATTTCGCTTTAAAATCGAAACATATTTTACAACTAATTGATAATTTATTGTGCTTGTATGTGTCTGCAGAGTTGGATAACGCCGATCTGTACGTTCAAATGGACCCCAACAAGATTCCCAAGTTTTTGACAAAGCCAAGCACATACACGGTCGTCACCAAGGACACAATCGTTTTGCCGTGTGAAGTATATAATCCCGGTAAGTTTCATGGTATTTATTATTAGAGCTAAGGTAATTGGACGTAGAGAAATTTCGGAACGCCACAATGGAATGTTCAAAACAGTCGCTAGTTTTTTAAATACGAGCAAGCTCTTGAATTTAAATAGATTACTAACGTTACTAGATTACACAAAATAAACTGCTTATGTGTGTAACCATTTTGTACTAATAATCATTTTGATAGTTGACGAATATTATGATAGCTTAGATCGTCATCATACTTGTACGCTGAGCTATATTATAAATTTTCACCAGGAAAAGGAAACTATTAGTATTATAACGATGATTTTATTTTTCTTTGGAAAAAAAAACTTTTCGTTAAAGTAAAATATTTTCAATCGATAGCTAATTGAATGCAGATGGTGCTTCAGTTTTTCATAATTGTAAAATTTCTAGTCTAAAATTAATCGATAAAATTCTCGTAATCATTAAAACTTTGAATCTCGTGTGATTTCTAAAACTCAATTCAATTTATAAACCTCAACAGGTATAACGAAACCCTAAGTTTGTATATTTCAATAATAAAATGTTTTTAGTTTATTGTACATTATAAAATCAAATTTGATTACTATTTTATAATTTTTGTAACAACCATATAAGATTATAGGAATATATGTTGCTACGTAGATACTTAATAACTTTGAGAGAAATATGTTAAAGAATAACTTGTTCTAAAACATCGAAAATTAAGTTATTTATTTTTTTTTTTTTTCAAGTATTATATAAGTATTTTGGTAGTAAATGGTATAGCTTTTACTTGAACTATTATTGATTTTCAAATTTAAATTTTATATACATGGTGTTTTTTTCTAAGATACCAATACAAAAACTTTTGTAACTATTTTTATAAGTGGAACTATCATGAAGTCTACTTATATAATACTGTGTTACTCAGTGGCGTATATTCAATCTTGCTCTGGGGGGGGAGGGGGAGTTAAAAAAATAATTGTTATCTTTTTTTTTTTTTTTTCGTTGCACAGATAAATAAGATAAATAACTGCTATAAATAGATATTATTTTATACAAATTTTTTACCAATTTACATTTTACTTTTACATCACAGTAAATTAATAGCTATTGGAATATAAAAACTGCATAGTTAACAAAACTTTTCAAACACTTATCAATATAATTATTTAATTATCATAATATTTGTATAGCTGTATATTTTTAGTTCAAAGCGTAATAATGAAACTACGAATATATTACACGTCATCAATAATAAAACAATTTTTTTTTTTTTTTGGCCCATGGGGGGGTTTGAACCCCTCCTCTCCGTATGTACGCCACCAAGTATTCAAAAAGCTCATCAATAAGGAGTAACCCGAAAATTGGACGAATAAAATTAATTTTCTCTAAATTGTTCTATTTTCTTATTTCTGGACATCTTCATATCAGATTTATTATAGATATTTTTAAATATCCATTTAATAAAACATTATTATAAGTTTTATTTATTCCATTGTACTCATTTATTTATGCGATGGACATGTTTTTTTTATTTTTGACCACGTAATGGCGAAAAATTATGTTTCTTTACTACGTAATATCTTTTTTGAAAATTAAATTTTCTTTAAAACCATATTTGATCGAAAAATAGTAATTTCATACTTGTACAACAGCGTACACGGTGTGATGGTGAATATGACGCGTACAGAAATTATGCGTGTAAATCACGTTGCTGTAATACCTACATTGAATAATTTACATTTAACATGTATTCATTGAATATATTTACTATGAGTTTAATATCGATTTACAAAAATTTATTTTGTTGGTCAGTTCGGGTATGTGTATACGAGATTGCACGCTGCACTTTAATATGATCGCACTGTCGCAACGTGTGAGCACTTCCCAAAACAATTAAATTGGCATTTTATGTGAGTTTGGTGTCGTATAAAAGCCACTGGAGAATTGCCTTAAACCATTTACACTGAGATAGTTTCGTCTGTTCTCAATTGCTTTGGATCGCGTCGCCAGTGTTGATCAGATAATATTATTATTTCTAGACTAAATTCGATTCGTGCACAAAGTTTGAGAAATTATTATACTTTGGAATTTGGTGATCATAATATTTAATAATAAACTCTTACGAGAGTAACACGTATCGACGTTAAAACGCGAAAACGAATAAGTTTAGAAATAAAATAAATTCATCTGAAAATGTAAAAAATATCCAAGTCAAACTTTGTAATTAATTAATTTATTTATTACCATGTAGTGAGATAATATATAAATCTAAAAAACATAAAAAAATACCCTCGTACAACTAAGTATATAAAAAGTCAAAATTAATAGTCGTAAAAGTCAGTCAGGTCACAGAAAATCGATTATACCTATGTTTTTTTTTTTGATGATTTTAAAATTATAATTATAAAATAGATTACCGATTTTGAATTTTGACAATTCGTCCCAAATAACAACGATTTTTACAATCTAATCAGAGTTTGCTCAATAGAATAACCCAACTGTACGAAATAATATAAAATTTATTTATAATTCAAATTATAATGATAATAATAATACTAAAAGAATGATCTAGAGCTTATATTAAGAGTCAGACTTATGTTTTCTTCTTCATCGAGTTCTCATGTGAAAATATTTTAAATAAAAAATTATTAACGCATTTTTGATAGAACAATAATAACAGTTAAATTTAAGATGAAACTATAACGAAATATGAAAACATTTCAACGCAATGGTTTTAATTATACTTTGTTTAATTCACTTGTTATAAATTCCTATTTCAGTTATACAATAACGAGACGTTTCAAATATTTGCACTTTTATATAATACACATGGATGCTTATAACGATATACAGCTAGTAGCAACTATCACAATACAAAGGTTTCTCTGCCCCCCCCCCCCGCAAATTTGGCTATTACTATTCGAAATCTTGAAGTTGCCACATAATGGGTGATCAGCCATTTCGTGCTGACGGCACCACCGCGGTTGTGTGCATAATGAGTTGAACGATACCGTATCATTACCGCGTTATACAGTTGCAGTCACACGTTATACGTATTTTTGTAATAATATAATATTTACACCGTCGAAACAATTATAATGATAATAATAATAGTAAAAATAATAGTAATAATAATAATAATAATAATAATAATAATAATAATAACACTTGTAGTATTGCTATTATTATGGTTATTGTTAGGTTTAACTTGCACCCGTGCTGATTACGACGAGAGCAATAACGCCAAACGGTGTCGGTACTAGTGTATTACAATAAATCGCGCTTTATCATCATCTCCTATCGTTCGCGCAATAACCAAAAACCATTTCGGACAATTTTTGAATTTTCCGTAGATATCACGTCAAACAGCGCTTCGTTAACGATTACATACGTATTTGAAATAGTCAAACTCAGACACACTATAATAACAAATAATAAAAACACAAGTTAAGGCAATAAAATGTCCATGGGTTAGAAAATATAATTATTTATTAATTCATGTTGTATACCAGTGGTGCCCGACCCGCTAACCGTGGGTTCACTATATTCTATTTGACCCGTTATAAATTTTTAAAATAAAACAAAATATTAAAAACAAAAGTAAAATTATTATCAAATACGATTTTTATTATTTAACATTTTCAAATACAAAGTTTACAATTTAATATCAATATGACCCGTAAACTTAAAAGAGTGTACTGATCAAATCTATGTAAACCTACCTCAATCTGTAATCTTTTCAATAGTTGATAAAATATATAAAAATTAGTCCAATATATACCTACGTATATATTGTATAAACATTATGCAAAACAAAATGATATTGTTAGATTAATGTTGACTTTTATACTTGATGGTCCGCTCGAAGATAATTGTTTACCAAAGTTTCCCGCTAATGAAGAAATGTTAGGCATCACTGCTATATACAATACAAGAGTAAAAATAAGTTTAATTTAATTAATTCATTAAAAAATAATTGTAAGTAATTTATTATTTAAGAGTTATTTCAATTTTTGCAAAAATATTCGTTAAGACTTTTATTGAAAATAAAGTTAGCATGAATTGTATAGACACTAGGACGACCCATCTTAACACAGTCCACACTACACAGAGGTCAGAGACAGAAAAGAGAATACTTGCCTATTACTTAGAGCTATATTATACAAGTTATACTTTTGAAGCATTATTGTCTTTATAACAATTGTGCAATGTGAATAATTTTAGAAATTTTCATAAATTATAATTATGTCTGTACTAAGAAGTCGGTTAAACCATATTATGAATTTGCTATTAAACTTACATCGCACTGTACAAATGTATATAGTATATTATATTAATAATGGTAATAGTTCTAGGGAGGTAAAAGAAGTGTCTTCCCCCCAAATTATCCAAAAAAAATGTTTCCATACACAGCGCAAACATACTATTGAAATATTTTTTATTCATAATTTAAGAATCCTAAACTTTTGGTCTACTTATAGAATGATATAAAAAATATACATATATACATCGTACTGAATTGATTATAATTTCTTGTATATACAAGCCAGCCGCTAATAATTGTATTAAGTTTTGTATCAATCGATAATATTATACAGATTACTGTTATAAAAATTATTCAAAACGTTATGTTTAATATTGATGAACGTAGCCCGTGAAACATAGTCTCAGTCATTTTCGTGAAAAAATAAAAACAATAAATCATAATTAGTAAATTCTAAGTTCAAAAATCGTAATTTTGCTCATGGGACATTAAATCATTTAGATCAAAATTACTATCCAACACATAAATCATTTCTAACAATTTTAGTTACCAATTTCTGTTACAACAGCAGAAAGATATTTTTTCTCTTTAAGGGTGCTTAAAACTTGGTTAAGAGCAAAAATTATATAAGATAGACAAAGTTGGCTTTTTTGCATTATGTACGGATATAAATATTTACAGCGAAAATATTATAAAAAATATAATCAATAGATTTTCTTAAAAAAAACAACGACAACTAAGCTTT